AGGGTAAGTGTACACATATATATATATATATTCTTCATACATATGTTTATATATATATATTCGTGATAGATACAATTTATTTATCATTATTCTTGATACATATATATATATATACTAATATACTTTTTTCTTTATCTCATATCTCAAATTGAAGACTCGTTGGTTGAAGGAAAACACCCTGGACACACACCATCTCAAAGCAATCCAAGAGACAATAGGTGGATTTCTGAATGATCAGGTCTTAACTCCCGGCGGCGAGTTTTACTATGACCCAAATATGTGATGATGAAAGCCAAATTTCATATTGATCCAAAGAACATGTGATGATGAAATGTACAATTAATGCAAACTTTACATGTGACGATGAAATATAATATTATGTTTTAGTTTACTTTTACTTATGTTGCTTGCGTGCATTGATCGAGCGAAAACTTTACAGTACGCGCGCGTATACGTATATTACTTTGCAGCGAATAATGCGTATTCGAAAACCAAATTAAAACAAAAAAGAATCATCAATTGAAATAAGCAGGAAAAGAAAAAAAAAGACCCTTTAGTCCCGGTTGGTAATACCAACCGGGAATAAAGGGGCCAGCCCAGGCGTTGGTGTGGCTACCTTTTTAGTTCCGGTTGGTATCACCAACCGGGACTAAAGGTCCACTTCTATTCCCGGCTACTAACTCTTTATTCCCGAACTCCTATTCCCGGCTGCGTAACCGGGAATAAAGGGGGTTGGCAGCCGGGAATAGAAACCCTTTTTTTACTAGTGCCAGGCACGACATTGCCCAATGGCCATCCGGCCCGTGCCAGCCTGGCCCGATGAGGGGGTCATGCCTGGGCCACACCTTCGGTATGCCGTGCCTACCTAGCCTGTGCGATTAGTAGAGGCCTTAGAAGGCCCATCTCAGTAGTCACCTGCACCTCTCATATATAAACATACCAAAACTCTAGCCCAATGTCTTCGACTCCTAGCCGTTGTAGACCTCTACATTTTCTCCGCCCTGCGAATTGAATCTCTCCTTCGAGTCCTGGTCTCCTCGGCTCCTCGGCCTCTGTATGCTGTCTTTCTCCAATTCGCAGCTTGCAACTCTCCTCCATGTTCAACTCCAATGCTTCCCATCCCTTCTCCACCAGTGCTAGCGGTGGCGCCCTAAGTCGGATGTTAGGCATGCGTCCTTGGCCACTGTGGTGCCGCACGTGACACCTTCTCCACCAGCGCAGGCGGCCTCAGCCTCAGCCGGCTTGGATGGTGGTTTGTGGGTTGGAAGAGGCAGGGGGCTTCAAGCTCCCATGCTGTCAGGTCATGCCTTCAGTAGGCTCGGGCCGTGTCAGGATGTGCCACCCATATTTGGCCATCTATACCTCCATCCTTTGATTCATCATGTTGGATGTTGATTTCCCTTCACGATGTTCAAAAATAAGATCTATGACAGTTATTGCCCTCATGGGGTGTGTCCAGTAGCACTCCTCTCCCCTTATAGATAATGCTCCAAAATTATCCTCCTGTTGATCAGACTGATGCCCGAAATAGCAACCATGTCATGGAAATCACAGAAGTCATCACAATAATAAATTGTAACAAAAACATTTGACTTCATTAATAGATTTATTTGTACTAATCCTAAAGAAACCACATTTAAATAACAATGATAAACAAGAGATGGGTCTCTCTGCTTCCTCCCGACAGGAGAGGAAGGAGGGGGCTCCCAGACGGCAGCGTTGGTGAAGGTCTATCCAAAGGTACTGTCATCACCAATAGGGTTACGGACTCCCAAGGGTTCTACCTTCCCTTGTGGCCTGGGTACCCACACATTTTACTTTCCCTCAGAGGTTCTAACCAGTTTTACCCTTCCACGGAGATTTTCAGGGGTAAATCCTTTCTCGAAGGTTAAACCTTCTCACAGAGGTTCTAGGAGGTTTAACATTTTTATGGAGGTTCTTGGAGATTTAACCATCTCATGGAGGTTCTCAATGGTTTAACCTTTTCTCGGAGGTTCTCGAAGGTTTAACCTTCCCTAACATGGTAATAGGGACTCGAGGTTAGCATCACTAGAATTAGGGCTTCCTTTCCATTGTAGAGAACCCTCTCTCCGGTCAGGTTCTTGGGAACTTATATAGCGGTTGGGAGCTATCATTTACAAGCAGGTTATTGGTGGGACAATTTTTTACATGAAGCAATCTAAACCTCTATTTGGGCCTCTTTCGGGCCAAGGGAGGCCTAGCTCATATACCTCATGGGGTCCCCAACATTAGCACCTCAACTATTAAGTTATGATGAGTAACATGACCTAACAGATGCTCCTATTAGAATGAATTTGATTTGTAATTTTGTTATGCTCTTGCATTAATATTCAAACTTACACGCAAGTAATATAGAAAAATTATCCATGTGTGCACTACTAACGAAAGTGTTTTTGGAGATGGTTAAAATCGATTTGTAGAGGCAAGCAGTGTGGCCTCCTCTAGCAAATGGTCACTATTACTCGGTCATTTTCAGAGGTAGTTGCATGCCCACCTTTGTAAATCAATTAATAGGGACGGACACCTTAAGATGCCCTACCACTCGGAACTTCAGCACATATAGCACTACCCTACGACTAGACCACACACTCATTTGTGAGTAAATATAGACATCTATCTTCTATAAAGATTTTGCAATCTTTTATTTAATATTTCAACCACTAAATGATTTCAAATAAAAAAGTTTGAACAACAAACTTTTAGAGATTGTCAAGCAGTAGAACTTTGGTATAGGATGTGTCTCCATCTGAGATTGTTTAAAAAATTCAGAATGTTGAATCTCAAAATATATGAATTTAGAAAATATTTATTTGAGACTCTAAAGAACTTGAAATAAAAAAACTTCTCAACTGCCAAGTTGTAGATCATGTCAGCAACTATAAATTTAGTATTAACCATGTGAATATTCAAGGTTGTTTGGAAATTTCAGATTTTGAATTTCAAAATCTATGAAATTAAAACACATATTTTACCCTAGAAACAACTTCAAATAAAAAAAGTATTCATCTATAATGTTGTATATTGTGTTGAGGACTAGAACTTTGGTATATACCATGTCAATATCTGAGGTTTCTTTTTAAAAAAATAAAATTTTAACTTCTGAACTTAAAACAATATTTCAGAACACTAAACAGTTTCAAATAAAAACCTTCTGAACTATAAAGATGTAGATTGAGTAGAGAGCTACAAGCTCGATATAAAGTTCATCATCATCAGACTTTGTATAAAAAAGTTATGATATATTTTTTGATGCAACTATTCTCAAGACTGTTCATCTCTGTTAATTGATTTCCAGATACAGATCCTCAGAAATCGACATCTCAAGATGCCTACCTCTGTTAATCGATTTACAGAGGCATGCATCTTAGGACAACCACCTCTATAAGTCGATGATTAACAGAGGCGACTGCCTCAAGATGCCTGCCTCTATAAATGATTAACAAAGGTGGACGTTTGCATATAGAGGCCATCCAACCATTTATAGAGGCGGGCTCTAGATATGCCCTCCTCTGTTAATTAGAGAGGTTGTCTTAAAATCTTTTTTCTAGTAATGATGTCTACATTCATCATGTGTACCAAGCAAGGAATTGGAGATTTCTTTTCTCCTTACCTGATCATTTCAGTGCAAACAAAGAAGAAGCTGACAAAAATAATTATTGCATGAGGGATGCTGAGATTCTAGGAGTTCTTTTTTATTTGCTATTTCATTTTGCTAAATCTAAAAATTAAAGGCTATGTTTTTTTAAGATCTTATCTCCTAAAAGGTAACCGGAGTACCGCAGCAAGTCCCGCTGATTGGAGATAACTTAGATATTGTGAAGAATCACAAGTCACAATGACGATGGGAGAACTGAACTGATTAGTAAGGATCAGTTGTATGTGATTTGAGCTTGAGGGATGAGGATGGGTATAAAAGCAGACTTTTCAGGACAATTCAAATGTTGCAAAAAGATGTGTGGCCGAGCAGGAGAATGATTCTGTAGGTATCGACATTCCTGTGTATGAGGCCATTGCAAAAGTGACAGTGGTTACTTCTGATATGGACCATCTAAAATGTACATTGGCACTACGTACCCATCAATGGTCGAATTCAGGTTGGCTGTAAGGCAACTTGCCATAAATGAAGAATTTGAGCTAGCCATATAGAAGAATCAAATAAGAAGATATTTAGAGGGTTCTGTGAGTTCAGTAAAGATTGTCCTTGGAGGATTACAACAGGACCTACCCTCTTCTAGGTTGAATCTTTATTCACTACAACAGTTTCATTTTCACATCAGGGTTTCAACTGTCAGTCTGCCCAAAACCATTGGTGATAATTTTTGCCACTGGTTCAAAAGCTGGTGGGACACGGTGGTATGAAAAACCGGCGTTGAAAATAGTTTTCTCCGCTGGGTCGGCGGGATGATTCAGTGGTGAAAACCGTCACAGTTTGTACTGCCGCAGGTTTTTCGCCCAATGGCTGTTTGAGCCTACAGTGAAAATTCTTTTCGCTGTCAACTTATTGTATGATCCGGCGGTGATAACCACATTGGTTTTCTCCAGTGGATCGTCCATTGCCATAGTGACGAAAACGATCCATCACGCCGGATCAAACAGCAACTGCACTCCACCTACTATTAACCCGCGATGAAAACCACCTGGGACCAAACCCCTTTTCCCACCTATTGTTCCTCACTCCCTTCAATTCTTTAAGGGCCATTGCTAGATCGAGTTGCTCTTGCTCACATATTTACATTAGAATCATACACTGATGGCCTAACAAAAAAAAATCCCATGCTGCTGCGATGCTACTGGAACCTGATTATATCTTGGCAAATTCTAATATGCAGTGAAAAAAGACATAGATTAAACAAAACTCATCAGTTAACAAGTGCCTCAGACCACACTTCCAGCCATACATTACTACTCCACATTAGATGAAGTGGATTACATTGCCCTGAATGGAAACTAAACATACCCTCGTCACAAATGTGAAGACGTCATGGACAGGGAGCAACCTTGGCCAGCAGCTCTTTGATAAGAGATGGGCAAGAAGCCAAGAGAAGGTCAAAGCCCTCGGTCGCCATGACAGTCTTCAGATGGCTTGGCGACTTCAGCAACTCAAAACATGCCTTCTTGAGCCCCTGGCAACCATGCCGCTCAGCGAGTGCCAGTGTAGTCACTACGGTGCTTGTGTCGATGCACATGCAGAGCTTGTCCTCACAAATCAGTTTGAGCCTCTCTAGATCATATCTGTCCGCTGCTACAAGCAAATGATGTGTGATCACAAACGCATCTTCCTGGTCAATATCAGGCATGGTGTCGGTGTAGATGAAGTGGAGCATAGCCTCGAACACACTTGCTTCCATGTCTTTGATCTCTATGCAGTTCATGGCCTTCTCCTTCATGGGGCCAAAGAGCTCTGCCATGAAAACCGATGACCTTGCAGCCAGCACACACCTGTGTGCAGCAAACATATCTCCGGCAACCTCAAAAGTGACGTCGGCCCCCACCGCGCCTGAGAGGAGGGAACCAAAATGCCGATGCATGTTGGACGGCGGCACGAGGACGAACTGCATAGTGGCCTCTGTGCTGATGCCCTTAGAGACGATGACATCGCACCTTATTTTAAGGCAATCATCTCTTATATAAGACGATTCCTCCAGGGCTTTCCTTGAAACGAATTTGGAGAAGCCCCAGCACCGATTTTTGGAGGAGAACGTATCGTCCACAGAGGTTTCTGAGCTAAACATCGGTACATATTTGCCGCTGTCGTCCAGAACACCAAATACGAATCGAGCATTGACTTCCACAGCGGCATCGGTATGATCGTGCTGCAGGTAGATAGAAATCCAGCCGGCATTTTCTAAGACATTGCCATCAGGGTAGTACCTGATATACCAGCGGTGACCACCCACGCTGAATGTGCTGGATTTGATGTGTTTGCCGTTGCCGAGTTCCTTGGTCGTTATGGAGTAGCCTTTGATCTGGAGCACGTGCGACCCAGTCATGGCCTCCGCCGCAACGATAGCCGACGTGGTCAGGGCCTCGCCGTCGCTGCTGATGATGCCGACGGCAGACGCTGCATTGGTTGATGACATGATAACGGAGTGCTCTTCGTAGAGTTTCTGACTACGACCAAAATAAAGCGAATCGAGAGGCAAAAGCAAAACGAGATGTTCTGTCGATCGGATCGAGTTTGTTGCCGGGAAACCGAGATCGATATTCTATTGAGTTTCTGGATCGCGTACCGAGCACTAAGTATTTGAGTACCTTTATTTCTATTAACATCCGGTTTTCTATTCCGTTTTGGTTTTGGTTCGAACTTCCGGTTTTTTATGTATATCTATACTTCTATACTTAATACAGCCTAATACTATCCTACTCGGATTCGGAGTAGCCTTTCAGCGAACACAACCTCCTGCTCCTGCCGCGTCCGTGGTTGGTGTCCGTAGTTTTTTGTTTTCGTCAACCCCCTCTCCTGTTCGATCTAAAACGCCTCCAAGTTCCTCTCGCATCGTTCTTGCTAGGGCTCTCGCATCTCAGCCTCGCCACAGCGCCCAAACTAGCAGTTTTTAATCCATCACCGCTCCTCCTGCGTCGACCTGGGCTCTTGATTCCGTCACACGGGGTGCTTGATCCAGGGAGTAAAGTTTCCTGTCACATCGGATATCTAGATGCTAATTAGTAAAATTAAATATGAGCTAATTATAAAACTAATTACATAGAAGAAGACTAATTTGCCGACGAATCTATTAAGCCTAATTAACCCATCGTTCACTACTACGAAACCATTTTTAGGGTGGCTCGTGACCCTTTGTAGGGCGGTTTGGCCAGCCGCCCCACCGAACCGTCTCTACAAATCATACATTTATAGGGGCGGCTGTAGTACCAACCGCCTCTATAATACTTCTTTTTGTAGGGGCGGTTCAATCTAGAACCGCCCTACAATACGTTTTCCAGCCAAAAAAATTCTAATTTCCAATTCAAATTCGACCAGAACACTATTTGTTTCACAGTATTCCATCCAGCGTTAGGTGTTGCCGAACGTCCCGCGACTAACGTTCGAACATGCGTTCGAGTTGCCGAACGCCTGCGACCAGCGTTCCGAACCCCTTAGACTACAAGCACAAGAGTATTATATAAACTACAATTACAAGTCCAATTCACTAGAATATATACAATCCATCATTAAATATACAAATTCCATACACATTGTTATCAACGTCCTAGGGCTAGCCTTCCAGTCTCACGAAGGTGTTGGTACTGAGGATTTCTACCTAAGTCAGACTCTCGGTCATGGTAGGCGCTTTTGACGTGTACAATCTGGTCCAATATGAAGTTGCAAAGGTCGTCGACGAGCTCTTAGAGTTGGTCATCCTTATATGGATCTCTTTCATTCCTTTCTCTTCTTTCCACTACAAGAGAATAAGTTTCGGTTTAGTATTTCATACCATGTACGAAGTTTTTATACTACGGGTGAAGTGGTTCAAACTTACCCTTAAGGAGTGTCTCCTGTAGGCACCGGTGTTACTCATCATAGAACATATATAGTATCCACAATGTACACTCCCAGGTTTTTGCTTGGGGCACTGTGTGTTTTGCATATGAAAATGTTAAGTAATGCTTTTGACAGTCATGTAATGGAGTACTGAAGAAGTAAGTTACACTTACCGCACATAGTGTTTTTATAGCCAGCTTTTCTTTTCTTGTTGGATCATGCCTTCCGTGATGATTAGTGACAAAGAACCTAAATACCCTGTTCGAATTATTTTAGTAAATATAACTTGTTAGTACCCAAAAGTGAACGTTACAAGTATGTATACAAACATATAAGCTAATGAGGATTGTCGATATGTATACGTCTTGAGAATCGATATGAAGTCTTTGTATGTCACCAGGTCCCTATCTATTGAATCAAAGACCCATGCCATTCTCCTCCCGACATCAACGGCTATACAAATCCAGTGGTTGATGCTTGGATTTAATCATAGAACTAGATAAGCTCTATTGCATCGAATAAAATATATCGAACAAAGCTTTAAGTATAGAGTTGAACTTACTCGAAGTTGTATGGTAGCCATATAGTAGAGTGTTGTTGGAGAGTTTTGAAAGCCAGGGCAGTGTATGACACAACCTTAAGGGACTCTTCCCTTAGTTTCGCCGTACGGATGTGCTCTTTCTCCCGAAGAGTCTTTGCAGCAGCTAGCTCTTTGGCATCCAGTTTCCACTATTTAGGGTAATTAAAATTTGTTTGGGCTATTGCTTGAGGGTCTAGATACCCGGCTTTCACACTTGGCATTTGTTTGACAATGTGCACTTGCATTCTACAAATCACGGCATGGGTTAGTTACAACAAAATTCAAAGATTACATTCATATCATATCGGGAGGACAAGGACTTACAGGCACCACGTGCGAATTAGATTCATCTCCATTTATCCCGGATGAAAGCATGTGTGCATGTCATTGAAGTCAAAGACAATTTTCTCGGCTGGGCTTCCAAATGTGCCGGTGGGGAAGCATGCTTGTATGAGGTCTATGCTCGTTGGGAGAACACGCAAGTACCAATCATGGAACCTTCTCATTCCAAGTGGTAGGCACTGGATGTCCCGGTTTGGTAGGAAGGGCTTGCCTCTTTCATATGTTTTCGGGCAATCCTTTGACCATCTGATGGCATCAACATTTGGATACTGCTTTGCAATTTGGTGGAGTTTGCTAGTGATGGCCTCCTTAGAACCCCGTGATGGGACTTTTTTAACTTGGTTCTCAGGCTTGAACTGGTCATGGGAATACCACTTGGACACCGATGAGACATCTTTCATCGGAACATAAACTGGCCTTATGGTGATTGGATGCTTCTTTCGAAGTTCTCATTCAGGCACGTCCTCATCATCTTGTGCATCACCTTCTTTAGGAGGCACTCGTTGTTCATGTATCGGCTATGCTTGTTGAGAAGATTGTGGCATCTCATCATGCACTTGTTTGGTACGAGCTGGAGAAGGTTGTGGCATCTCATCAGGCACATGCTCACTAGGAGGCGGGGAAGAATGTGGCATCTCAGGAATGTGGTGGTCAGAAGACGGTGAAAATATCTCCCTAACCTCAACAACTTGCTCCAAATTTGGGAGAGGAGGAGGCAGCGAAGAAGCAGTCAATATAATGTCCCGTTTGTGCCAGAGGATGAACTGCCCCATAACGTCTCCGAGTAACACCAGCCCTCAGGAGTTGCGTAGTCTATTCTCCACTGCATGAACTCAGGCTTCACGGTATGCACCTCGACCCTAGTGTAGTCTGGCGGTATTTTATTATTGTGGTGTAAGCCACCGAGAGGATGTGCCACACCTGTTGCCACCTCCATCACAGTGTTCTACCGGCCGCTGAGAAACAACAAGGTGCAACTAGTTGGTTCCCGTATGCGATCGATGGGGGTTGTGGCTGCAGTGGAACCTTGGCTGCTAGGAACTTTCGAAGGGCTGTCAACTAATGTCAGTTCTCCCGGCAATGTCACTAATATCCGTGGCTCTGTAGACAGTCCTTGCTCCTCCAGCGCCTTCGCAACTAGAGCCTTCACTTGGAGCTTAAGATTAGTCTCCTAGTCTCTGTCATGTTTCTTGTACATGTGCCTATCCTCTTCAAATCCTTGCTTCCAGGTCATCCTTTTCCTTAGCCCCGTGGTGCGGCCTGTGTGCTCCTTGTTTTCCAAGCCAAGGCTAAGCTCGTTTCTCTCTCTGGAATGATTGAATGAGCCCTTCTCCTTGTCTTCAGCATATTTCAGTATCCTTGATACTGCCTCTTGGTTCTCTGGCTTATCAAACTTAAAATTACCGCCGGATGATTCTGCACTCCTCGCATATATCCAATTCCTTGAGCATACCTTCAAATTTGTCACATCAAGATTCCTAGCAGCTGCGGCCTCTTCGTCCATCTTCCTAAACTACTCTTCCTTGGCATAGTAGCCACCAGGGCCTAGATGATGGTGGTGTTTGTTCCTCTTCGCTAGCTCGGTGTTACGGGCACTGAGCTCCAATGCCTCTGGTGAAGTCTTCTGAGCCACGACCTCCTCCCATTGACTAGGAGTTATTTTGCCAAACTCGTTGAAGGGAGTTAACTCCTTTTGGATATACTTCTTGTTGAGCTCCGACGTCCAACGTCGGAATGACTCTACCATCATCCTGAAAGCATTTTTTTACCAGTCCGTGCTTACCCTCCGGAAATCTAAAATTGAGCTTCAGCTGCCTATCCCATAGTTCATTCTTTTTGTTCTCTAGTACCTCTTTCCAGTTAGGGATTGCTGGGTTCAATTTATCTCTTACTAGGGCCCCGATCGCATTACGAAATCGTCCTCTTAATTCTTTCGGCTCAAGGATCTCCCCTGTTGACTCGACCTCCGTTATCACATAGCATGCCTTATCTGGATATAGATTTCCTTTTCTATCCCCTCGTTTCTTCTTAGGCTTGGTAGTCGTGGTTGTGTCTTGAGGTTGTGGAGCAGAGGCCTCAATGTTCATCTCTGTGGTTGTTGCCTCTTCTCTCCTTTCCTCTACTCCATCTTGTCCAGCGAGATGTCGCGGACGTCGATGTCGTCTTTTCCGAGTTTCAGGAGGGACCTGTATATACGATAGGTTAAAGTGTTAGCAGAGGTAACACAGCCAAAGCTTTAGTAAAATTTACAAGCTAAGGTTTTTTTCCTACCTCCTCGTTCGGGACAAAATCCTTGTCCAAATCTTCCTCCGTTGGCCTCCTTCTGGCTTTACGTGGGAAAGGATCCTCGGGACTTACATATCCCTCTTCTGAGTCATCATCATCAACTTCTTCGCCTTCAGCAGCCTCTCCTACTCTTCCTTCTGCCCCCCATTCCTTCTCGTCACACTGCTCCTGAGTAAGCATCACTTCTAGATCCTTTTCTAACTCGTTATCGAACTGCTCCTGAGTAACCTGGTCCTCTAGTGCTCGCTCCTCATAGGTTGGCTGCTCATCATGCTCAGGGCATCGGGATGCACCTTCGTCACAGTGTCCGTGACATTATTTCGCTTTGTTCTAATAGATGCAAGAAAGTGTGCTTTAGGCACGCGAGAAGGTATAAGAAATCAAAAAGGTCT